TCTGAGGCACGCACTGGCTTCGGCCGCCATAGATGAGAAGACCTCCAGGGCAGAAGGACGAACGCGCGGCGCCTAAAATAGAAGGATCCTAATATAAACGTGGCCACTAGAATTTTATTAGATATTTGGTATACCTGACCTTTTTAATTTTTTGTTTGCTAGTTAGGAGTGCTCCACCGATATATAGGTAATAGTATATCTCGCTGATAAGTAGATAAAATTTAACTGACTGAAATAAGGGAGGTAGCTTTGACGGGGCTACTCTTCCTTGTTCCGTATCTCGCTTATTTTCAGTAGTTACTCGCTTATTTCAGTTTTTCGAATAATATCTCGCTGATAAGTAGTTGAGTAGAAGATGCACTTGCACTGTTGATCATGAAGATGATGGGAAGATAATAGAATGGTCTGAATCAAATCCTACAGTTCTTGGCATCTTACGTCTACGGAGATCAAGAACGTTCACATCGGCACTTTTCTAAGATAGAAGAATACGTCGAGGAGACAACGTCCTCTGAAGATTCTGAAGAGGAATAATGCTCTTCGGGAGAAGAAGGAAAACAAGAAGTTCAACTCAGGACCCACCGAAAGGGACCAAGTAGAGGACTGACGAGAAAGAGTTTCTCCGTTAAGGCTGCGCCTAATCATGATGGAATCATTTTCTGAAGCATACCGAAGAGGCATTTTGACTTCAAAGTGGAGAAAATAAGAGGAACAGGATGCGTCTCGTCAAGGTGGTTTCCTGTCTCTGCTACCACTAAAACAGTAAAAAGAGGACACAAAAAGTACTTGTTCATAGTACTATCATGCTCAACACCGTGAAATGCATACATAGTAACTACATAAAAACAAGTGCATGAATCACCGGCCGCGAGGATTGATTTGATGTTCTTGCAAGAGAGTTAGCGACCAGGGAAGATGGCCATATCAGGAGTACGCATGACCTGATCAATTGTCAATATCTAGGTTTGATTGAGTGTCCCAGCACTGTTTCAGACTAGTAACCACGTTAGGGAGATGTAAAAGAATCTATGAGAGGAACAGGATGCGTCTTGTCAAGGTCCTTGGCCTGACATCATCTAGCTCTACTAGGTTTGATTGATGAGTGTCGCAGCACTGTTTGAGACTAGTAAGCACGTTACTAGGTAGTAATGGTATGTATAAGGACAGCGACAGAATAAACCGAAACAGTAGTTCTTACGTCCTCGCAAGAAGAATCACCATGATGACGTAGATGTTGGTCACTACTTCTTCGTTTTCTTGTCATAACGATTTGGACCACGAACACATGCGGAGCGTACTTTATAGGTCGACGCAACTCATTGTAGATGCACTCGCATCCATTTGCATCACAGTGTCGGGAGAAAAGAGTCACAATTGAGGACGAGTCAGGCGATCCTAGAAAATTTCGCAAGAAATTTAGAACGAGGGTTGAGGAGAGGGCGAGAGAGCCGTTGCAAATAAAACTATGAGAAGATGATCCGAAGATCTGAGACTATTTGAGCTCTACTGAGTGTTCCGCATGTTGATCCGCAACCGCATGTCCATGAGTGTGCACTTAAACGAAGATCATCTCTATGCAACTAGGAAGTTGCGAAAAAATGATCTAAAGTAACTTTCTCTTTGGTGGATCATAGAAGAATATACCTCGCTCTGACCACTAGTGTGAACAACCGAGTTCTCCTGGATGTCACATTTAGTGGTTTAACTTTACGGTACTTCTGCTCGAAAATAATTTACAACTTTTATTCATTGGCATTGAATCTTCGCGTTCCCGTTCGCAGTGCGGTCGTGAATTCACAAACTCAAAACTTTTCCTCCTGCATGCTCCTGCGTTAGAAACTGATTTTGAAGAACATAGAGATAAAAATCTAGAGCCTCTACAATATAATTCAGCAATCATTTTTCGATACCTACAAGCAAGAACATTTGACACTTGCATCATCTAAGTACTTCCACAAGAACATACACCACCTCGAAAAGGATAGAAGTATACAGTGTTTTCATAAAGAATTGTGTTGAGACGCCACCACCTTGCAAAGTAAGAGTTTGCTCTCCGAAGAAAGTGCTTAAGATAGTCAGGAAACTACTGATTTTAACACAAGAAGACAAGTCTCTAAGAAGATTCTAAGACACCTACAAGATTGTAGATTGCGTCTCTTGCAACTTTTTGGAGTGATACCCACCTCCCGCACGAGAAACATTTGAAAAATATTATATATAGCTTTTTCTAAACCAAAATGGGCTCCTCTACTGCTCGTCCATCCTTCTCCAACGGCGGGACTGGGAAGGTCCTTGTCCCAAAGGTTGCCATGGCGGCGGCATTCATGTTTTCCAATGTGGAAGGCGTTAACCTTAAGCCAGCACTTAAGACTATTGTGGTCAAGACTGCAGGTGCAGCAGCGGCACGTCGCACGGGGCAACGCATGATTGCTGGTGCGTCTCCTGGACTAATTGTGCCGCCGGATCTTCTAACACGTCAACCGCTAGTGCGTCCATCTCCGCAAGTGAACTCTGCGGCTCGTGCTTTCGGAAGCCTTGCTGGAGCTGGAGGACATGTGGATTCTGAGAAGTCGTGGGGTCCGCAAAGCCAAAGTCTCGCCAATACTCCTGTTGAAGATTGGAAAGAGCGTCATGCGGATGATCTTCGTGGTGCTACTGCAACTGCTAGTCAAGAAGACGACTATGGCGGTATCATTCTTTCTGAGGAAGAAGAACACGCTTTGCAACCATACTCAAGCATTGAGGCCAGTGAAGCACCACATAAAGATAAGGCTTCAGAAGATTCCAAGGAAGGAGGTTCCACCAAGGAAGGCCAAGGTTCTTCCCAACCTGGTGAGGGCGTGATGGGCTGTCTACCTAAGGGCTCGATGTTTCCTAATCGCTGGTCGACTTTGCAACAGACTACGTGTGAGTGGGAAGCCGATGAGTGGCAGAAGGAATGGAAAGCAGTTTTTTACATAGCGAGTCACGGAACCCGAACTGCAACACTTTACCCGGCAGAGTCCGATGTGAAGGGTGACCCATTTGAGGCGCTGGAAAAAGCAGGACCCTTGCCGCGGACACAAAGCACTGTCATCATGAAGAGTGTAAATTTGTTATATCAGGATTGGGAACGCATCAACAAGGACGAGAATTTGACTTAAGGCAAGAAACACTAGAAGTAGTACCACTAGGAAGGAGGTAAGTACTTACTTACAACAACACAAATACACGACGATTCTTGATCTTGCATTCATTTCCGAAGGATCAGGAGCCTGTTTAAAGTAGAAAAAGGCATTCTTGGGGATGCTGCTCTGTGGTAGCAGCTGTAGTCCTGTAGCTCTAATTTGAGGAGGAAGAGAAGAAAGAACAGTTGCAGGAAGCTTTGTTCGATTACGTGATGCGCAAGTCGCCTCATCCTTTGGAAAATCTGGTGGCAAAGTATGATGGCAACCAGAACCACCTGGAAGCCGAGCTCCACAGCCTAATCAAGAGGGACTGGACTGAAGTCGGAAAAGAGACGGCGGGCACCCAGTTCAAAAACTTGCTAGAAGCCTTGATTATTTTGGACGACGGAACGGGGGCCCCGTCGACATCGATCAATTACAAGGGGAAAGAAGCGTCGAACGAGGACGCGTCGCGTCCTCGTCTTGCCTATGGCCGCGCTATGTGGTCCATGTCGCGCACAGCGGATTTGGCTTTGTTGCAGTACCTAAAGTTATGCCAGGGGTTGCCAGTTGACCTCTCTGTAACTCAAGCATTTTGATATCCTCTAAATGAAGACCATTTTTTCGAAATAAAAAATGGGGGGACGAAGAACAACTCCTGTCTGATATGCTGATACGACCATAATTTCTTCAAGTAATTTTAGGAAAGTCATAGAACAAGATCATATGCAACTTACTAGAGGATCATAGGGGTCAACAACTTGCAAACCCTAATCACGCTGTATCATCCGGAGCTTCTGCCTGAGAAGATGAAGGGTTTCTGGAACACTCCGTTCGGCAGGCTTATCGGACAAGCAGTCCCCATCTGTAAGCGCTCGCTGGCACTCATGTTTGAAAAAGCAAGGACGGGAGACGGTCCGCTTCCACTGATGGTGGAAGAAATAAGGAGTACGAAAAAGACGACGGAGCTTAAGCGTCAAGTGGCTCGCCAGCGGGAAGAGGCGAAGGCTAGAATGCCCAAAAATATGAATGATGATGTGTTTTTTTGATCATGTCAGTCTCCTGTGGGCGATATGCTTTGAATGTTGAGAACTAGAGGGATTGCGCGTGGTCTGCAGTTCTCCGGGTCCGACAGTGGCAGCGGGCGTGCGGTCCCTAGAAGGTCTGCAGTTCTCCGGGTCCGACAGTAGCAGCGGGCGTGCGGTGAGGCTTGCTTTTGATCAAAGGCGGAAAAAGAGCGTGCAAGTACTGGGTCGGTCACTGAGAGGAAAGATCCCATTGGACATCGGTGTGCAGGATCCACGTGTCCAGGATCCACAGCTTAAGCTCCTAACCTCAACTTTATAGATTATTCATGATAACACTCGACATTAACAAAAGAGCATATCACGGAAAAGAGAACGATTAATTATCACAGAACAAAATAGAAAAATTAGAATAACGTCAGTGCTAGAACAGCGATGTGAACAGACGGAAATAGAATGTAATGTCATCACTATACCTAGTATGTGTTCTACCTATGAAATTATGGATCTGATATTGAAGAGTCACCTCGATCGTGAGGAGGCTCAAAAGACCGTTCATGTTTATCTCTTGCAAAAGGAGTCGAAAAACATCACTCTCACATTCAGAGTTTGACTCGCATAGCTCCAGGCGTTGGAGTTGGAGTCTGTGGCAGTGGTTGTTGTCAGGAGGGTCGTGATCCCACGTGTGTTTCTAGAGATTTTCCAGGAGGCCTTTCGGGCTCCGATCGGACACGACCCCGTCCTTTCCCGCATACTGAAGGCTGGTCCATGATCCGCCAACGCCAATAAATTCTTGTGCGAACCTCATTTTTATAGAAAAGCCATCTTCTGTCCAGAGATGAAGTTGAAGAGCGAAAACTAAAGAGAGGAAGACGAGGAACTAGACCAAAATGAACATTATATCTGTGTGATTCTGATTTCTGCCTGAAAGTAAAATATCTGTCCATCTTCATCTTGTCACCTACGTCTTGGTCCCTCCTTCCTACGACTTCAAAGACGAAAAAAAAATTGCTCTTTAGTATTTCTTGTCATTGATATAAGATATAAGAAGTCCTCTGTGGTCATGGTCTGACGTGTAGTTATTCTTCCTCCTCTCTCATTCTCCTGCCCTTCTTCAGATATTTAATATTGGCGAACGCAGATGGAGATGAAGAAGACCTTCAATTCTTGCACTTCTATCAGTATCAACACGAACCAAGGCGCGTTCCCGTTCCGTCGCGCTGTCAGAAGACGTGACTCAATTATGGATAGATGATCAATAGTTGTAAGAGTACCAACTAGGATACTCATACTTCATCTGCTAGGAAAAAAAAAAAGAATGGACCAGTTCGATGCCAAATTGGACGATGTGTCTGCGCAACTGTTCGCACTGGAACGATTCGCTCGGACAGGGGGAAATAGCAGGATTAAGGCTTGCCCTATTCCATCCACATCCTCAAGTGCAAGTAGGGGAAGAGACAAGATGCATAATTAAACTCCCTTCTTCTATACCTCTAGACTGGGAGGTACACTACTACTACTATTCGAAAACTCAAAATAACCGAGTTATACTGACTGAAAAAAGGGAGGCAGCTTATCATCAAGGCTACCCTTCCTTCTCATCAGTATCTCGGTTATTCTGATCAGTTACTTGCTTACTTCAGTTTATCGAACTGTTTCTCCTCCAGTTTCGCATCATGCATCTCTGAAATGTTTCTTTGCAAGGGGGAGACCGACGGCGTGTCTACTTCAAAGATGACTTGCAAAATGAGTCTACTAGTAGTACTAGGTAGGGTCTAATAGCCGCAGTCCGAACAGGAGTGCACCATTTGCGTCCACGACCCAACGCGTTCTGACCGACACTTCTGCAGCCTCCTCTTCAAGAGGTGAGCTTCTTGGACCGCCTGTTTTTGGAGAACACAAAAGTCTTGGTTCACAGAGTAACTTGGTGTTGTCCAGTAGTTACGGCTAGTACCGCTAAGGCATCCTGACCCTAAGCATTATCCCTGGCTCTCGTTCTACTTACCTGAAAAAGGAAGTAAGCCAAGGATGTGGATGCTTGCAGGGATGCGAACGCGGTAGCTCTAAAGCACTGGGGGAAAGAAAGGTTATTCCTTTGGGAAAGCAGGTGATAGAAGTCGTAGTCGTGATAATAACCTACATTACGGCTACAATAAATGCATCTTCACAGGCATCCTGAGGCCGTTTTTCAAGGGGAAGGCAGGCCCAAGATGCTGCTGAAGATGGATTTCTCCTAGTTCTAACTACGGAATGAGCAGCTGGCGTTCTTGGCGAGAGTCGTGCCACAGAAATCCGCATCCTCTACCTCAAATTCCTATGGGAGAGACCACAGGGACAATTCCTTAGCAGACCTCGAAAAAAAGTTGGAGGACGCAATACGAACGAAGTTGCAACCGAATGTGCCTAGGGATAAAAGTCATGTTTGTACTAGTCAGGACAGTATTTTTAATATCGAACAACGAGGAGGAGGTCAAGGTACAACTAGTGGAGAAAAAGCGGTTCCTACAACATCTTCGACGACCTTCAGTCGTGCCAAGAGAAGCATCTTCGAGTCGCAATATACTGCTCTTCTTCATGATGCAACGTTATTGGTTGCGAACAGGGGTCAAGGCCAAGGAAATCATGTCAACTCTTCTTCTACAGCAATTAAGACACAACTTTCAATGGTCACCATCTAGATTGGAGTCACTGAGATCGAAGAGGCGACCCCTTCTTGAGAGAACCAAGAGGGGGAATAAACGAAGGTGGGAAAGGGGAGAGCTTTGTTTGAAGGGGGTCTCTTCCGTTCAGAGTCATGATGACCAAGGAATGCTGAGCTTTAAAGCAACCAGCGTGGACGAATATCTCGGCGTTCGTTTGAGCAAGCACGAAGGCTGCAGGACGCTCGCTAGCGTTGGTGGGATCGATGCTGATCTCGTCCCTGCTGAAGGCCAACAGCATTCAACAACCTCTACTCTCAAGAAGCTCAAAAACAACAAGGCAGACAACCTTCATCAGGTGAAAATCTTAGAGATTTTGCCCGCAGGCTTAGTAGACTTCTACAATCATAGTTTGTCGGCGACATCAACTTCCTCAATGATCGCAGCTGGAGACAAGATTCTGCGTGTGCAGGGACGGGGAGATGTCAGAGCTGCATTAGAGTTAAGGTCAGCTTTAATCGACCTTTGTTCTCGGCATACCTTTGTTCTACTTTTCCCTTGTATTCTCATGAGAAATAGTACAACAAGGTTGTAAAAAAAGTAGGGGCCAAGATGAGGGGACCGAGATACATTCTAGCACACGCTAAGAAAGGACTGGCACGCCTTGGAGTGGCCGCGACCGTTGCTAACGCTGCATCTCGATAGGGAGCAGAGAAGTGTTAGTACGCATGAAGTGGGACGCAAAGGTTGTGCAACTACTCATAAGCAGGTGATAGGAACATCAAGAACGTCCTCGCGTAGTCGGAGTACAAGTAGGACAATGCGTACACGAAGCCGGCTTTTGATAGATGGCGATCATCGATCACCAATTGTATTCGGGGATGGCTGTGGGGAGGGAGTGGAAGATAGGAGCACAACAGGCCAAGATACTAGAAACCACGCACTGATAGAAAAATTGATGGCTGGAGATTTTGGCTTTTTAGAAGAACAGCGTACTAGCCGTGAAGATCTAGGACACGCCGAGCATCTAGATGACGACGACGACCAGGGTTCGACTTACACGAATTCATCTTCGTCTCGACATCGTGGCAGATTCATCTTTGACACAGAAGCAGCTAAAGTACAACAGAATCGCATCCGGTCTAGATGGCTGAGTAACTCTAGGAGTAGGAGTAGAAGCGTAAATAAGACGAACACGGGGAGCAGGAGAAGTAGTCGAGCTCCAACTTCAATGACGAAACCAACCATCGTGCTTCCCGGTCATCAAACTTCGGACACAGTCCGCATGGACTTCAGTAATCCAGGCCAGGAACGTTCCGTGCGATTTCATGTAGAAGTGCCAGCATATGTAGAAGATGACTCGAAAGAAACAGTGACCCTAGAAGCAGTCGTGAAATTGCGGGAAGAGGCGAACAAGCAACTAGCATCGGAAATGCTGCACCCGAATCCCGATTGTTTGAGCACGAAGAAAACGGTGCCCGTTGCTAGGATATGGGAGAAGAGCAATGCTGCTAGTTCTAGAGAAACAAGTCGGACTAAAGCACGAGAACGACGAGCACAGAAGCAGAAAGACAAGAATAAGGAAGAGGAGGAAAAGATGAAGACGAAAGTGAAGAAACATCAATCGCTCAAAGGAAAAGAACAACCTGAAGAAGCGAAGAGAATAACCTGTGATGCTGATCTACCAGACAATCCTCGTGAGGTTCTCAAACTCTACCGAGCGACGTTTAGAGAAAGACAGAAAGAATCAGTAGAGCGACTTGCTAGTGGAGTGGCTCCGGCGACCGCCACACCGAGTGAAGACCACATTGTTCCGAACGAAAACAGGTCTTCTAGGAGAAGATCTCGATCCCACTCATCCGGTGGAGGTCGTGGTCGATCCCGCTCTACGTCACGCTCCAAATCTCAAGAGGCTGTTTTTCGAGAACAACAGCAGAAAAACTTAAACATCCGTGCGCGACAAGCGGAGAGGAAGAAGTTTTATGTTCTTGCTTTTGGATAGTGGATATTACCCAGGATACTACACATGGATATTTTGGTTACTTATACCGATACTTTGGTCTAACCAAGTACTTAGTTCAACTCGTGGTAGATGTAGAGATACTGAGAAGGACACGACGATCAGGGTACTAGGCGAACATGATCAGGGTAGGCAGGATCCGCGTCACGGTCAGAAGTACTTGTCACGACTCCGACTCTCTTCTAACTCCCACAGCAGTCCCAAAGGCATGCAACCGATTTTCAAAATGCGACGGACCCTTTTTTTCAACACACCGCAGAAATGCTGCACCGATGGTGTGTCGAGACAGGCATGGACGCTTCATTGTCACCCACAAAGCAGTACCTCGACATACGAGCGAACGCGGAGCAGACGGCTTGGGAGACTCGGAAACGAAACAGGGACATTTTCGTGGAACAGAAGAGAAGGAGGACGGAGGAAATGAGCGGTAGTACCAGTGGGAAAAGAAGTACTACTGCGAAAACCAAGAATGCTCACGATACTAGTAGACTCTCTGCCAAATCCTCAGCCTCTTCTAGTTCGAACAAAATGAGCCAAAACAGAGGCTACCATGTGAATGCCTCAATGGATGCTTCTACTGTCGTGCCACCAGCTTCACCATTCCTAGCTGGTTCTGAGGAGAATGAATTGTCTAGTATTTTCGCAGATCTTTCCTCGGACAATGAGGATCTCCCTCCAGGTCCAGGCCACTATAACCCGAACTACGAACTTACAAGTCGTACTAGATCGACGAGAGGTGGGGCGATCGGGAAAGCAAAGTGTGGAAGGATATTTGGCGACATTGATTGCGAAGTTGAAGTAGTAGTAGAACAAAAAGGTAGTTTTTTTAGTTGTTGTAAAAAAGACCTCGTCACCAGCAAGAATAAAAAAGATCAACATCAAAGCAACCGAGATGAACTTCTTCGCCGCGAAACAGCAGCAATGATGAGTGAGCAGACGCAGATACGCATTAGAAATGAAGAGCGCGAACTGAACCGCCTACTAGCAAGTCTTGGCGCTGGAGCGGACGAATTGATCGCCACTCACACGCCAAAATCAGTTCTTCGAGATATTACTGAGGTTCATCCGGGAGTCGAAAGCGATACGACAAATGCATATACAGGCATCAACTCGCAAGTGCAGGCTAAAAATGCTGGAGATGAAGCCACATCTTCAGTACAAACAACAACAGGTGGACGCAAGATCCGTGGTGGCGTGATTCCTGGGATGACTTCGACAACTGCGGAAGTACGCGCACCAACCGAGCGGATGCGGCGAGCTCTACTGCTAGAGACGAGACCGCTAGTTCATGCAGACGTTGAGAAGGAAATACAGGCGAAGTTCAGCTACGCGCCAACAGCACGGATTGGTGGTGGCATGAAGAATGTTATGGAAAAGAATTTCGAACAGGATGAACAGGTTACATCATGTCATGTCGTGGACAAATCATGAACAAATAAGGTGGAGTTGTGGGGGTGGGCTCCAGCTGCACTCGCGCTTTCGACTCCTGTTACGTCAAGGACGGCAAGATCAAGAAGAAGTATCGTATAACTTAGGGTTGTTGTTTTGGAGTACCTAGGAGACATACCATTCTAAGAAAAACGGCCTCGGTGGACCTTCGTCTGCGTCGACTTCAAGTAGGTCTTCGAAAACAACTAACGAACCCTCTTCCTCTTCTGCGTCAGCATCTTCTTGCTCAGCTTCTGCGGCGCAAACAAGATCTGGTGAGAAGATAAAGTTTCTGTTTGTGGAAGAACCTATGGATCACGAGGCAAGCGCAGTTTTAGATGTTGGTGCTGACGGTCCGGGTAAATATCATCGCGAGCGTCCGTTCGCCAAAGACGCTAGAGGAGTAGTTGCTTGGCGGCCACCTGCTTCGACGTCGACGATGAAAAAACGCTTTAGTGCGACATTTTCTGTTAGCGATGAAAGGAATGACCACATGGAGCAAGAACAAGGAGAAGGAACAACAGGAGCTAGTGGTGAAGTAGCTCCTGAAGGAAATGTTGAGAAAACAACGGCTCCAACAGGGACAGAAGTACAAAATCCTCCACTTCAGAACCTTGGCCCAGACTTTTACGATACAGCACGTGGGGACAACTTGAAGCCGCATTTTCATAAACCGGTTGCGCATTCCTTCAGTCACGGTGAAGCGAGATATCGAGTCCGTCCCACCAGTCCGAACAAGAAACGACAACAACGCTGGTCCAATTCTTCTGATCATGCGAGTTCATACTCAGTGCCGCAAGCTGAACTGGATGAAAATAGTAGAGGTACTGAGAAGAAACTCGATCATGTCGCGGGAGGGGTAGCTGAGCAAAATCAAGGTCCTCGTGTTGATACAACAGAGACACGAAATGAGACGAAGGCAACTTCCACTAGTGGTGCTGCGATTGCGTCAACTTCTACACTGCTCAAAAACGACACATCTTCAGCAGCTGCAAAAGACGTCAAGCCTCCTCCACTCACTCCTCCTGCTTCATCCGGAGGTGCTGTGGCAACATCTTCTCAAGTCCGAAGTGTTGCTCCTCCAAAGAAGCCTACTGCTCGCCGAAAACAGGTGCATCACCTTCCTCCCGTGGGAATTCTACCATGGGAAAACTTGCCTACCGGCTACGATTACGATGGACAGACCGATGTTGGCCATTTGCGTGAAAGTGAGAGGTTTGAATCGACAGAGAAGTACATGTCAAAATCGGTGCTGAAAAAGAAATTTACAACAAGCGAGGATGCGGATCAACAAGAGGATACTAGAGGACCTTCATCATCATCTACAAAAAATACAACCAGTCGGCAGACGTTAGAAGGTCGAAAGACAAGCAGTAAGGCAATGAGTTTCGCCCCTCCGATCTACGGTCAATGGCAACAGGCTCTTTCACGTGCCGAGACGTCGTATTTGCGCAACGTATTAAAAGACGCCAATCGTTGGGTGGCTCCAAATAGCTACGACGTGTTCCGCGGTGATCGATTTCGTCTGTCTACACGGTTCTCTCATGGTTGGACCTTCAGACGCGGAGCTGACAAACGAACTGGACAAAATCAAAAGAAACGACGTGCTTATCGGATGGACCATCTTGTCGCAGAATTTTTAGATTTCGACGAACGACCAAGACGTGCTCTTTCTGCAGATGGGAATGGGCCCTTAGACGGTAGAGACATAGGTGGTGCTTCTGCGGACATGCTGACGAGGACGAGAGTGCGGACTGGAGGTCTAAGCTTCAACACCAGTGGAGGTGATCATGCAGAAGCTCCTAGTGTGCGTCGTCGACGCCAGAAGATACTAGGAAGAGGCCGTGATTTGTACAGCGAGCGGTTGTTTTCGAACGACGAATTGTTGAGAATGGAGAAACGCGACAAGCTGAGGATGGGGGCTAGTTTTGTTATGTCATGATGCAGACACAACTGACACAGATGTGTAGTAACTGCTTCAATTCTACAACTGAGTTACTTAGCCAATGTTAAACATCATATCACCTACCTACCTAGAAGATGAAGTTGAAGATTTAAATTTCTTTTTTTTCAGCCTATCCTTCCATCTCTAATCCGCCAAGAAACCTGTCTGCTATTTCTCTTTTTTTCCCCCTATCCTCTCTCTAATCCCCCAAGAAACCTATCTGCGGAGCGCTTCCTCGAGGCTGAAAAACGACAAGAAAAACTACAGCGAAAGCTCCGAATCCGTCATAATCCTGGAGTTTTCGGCTACTTCCAATTCGAACGTCCCGATCACTATGAGAAATACCTCCAAACGATCCAGCAGAAGAGGCACATGAAAACGGAACGAGAAAAATGGCTAGCTGAGGACATCAGGGAGATGTTTGGAGGAGGAGATCGGACGAGCAGTGCACCACCTTGTAGCACAACTACTACAACAAGGAACAACAAAACCTCTACTCCACGAGAAGAAGCAGGTTTGAAGACCACTACAATGAACACCAGTAGTTCATCATCTTCATCAGCAGCACAACAACACGGAAGATCAGTGCGATCAACGTCGTTCGCACGCGGCGCCCCTCGTCATGACTGGCGCATCTTTCCGCGACAGAAGAATTACCATGAGGATGAAGACGGGGACTATTTAATCTTGGATCCTCAGGATCCTCTGAAGAATTCAAAATCGTTGAATCGTCAAGTCAACTATGAACGCACGATGATGCAAGACCGATTTGATGGAGCAGGTGGGACAACTTTTAAGGTGGGTAGGCTTGTTTTGCTGGTCGTGACTGTGTTAGTGCCATTAGGGTTGCCTCTTTCAATAAGGGGAAGGGCATAGCACCACGCAGGTCTAACGAGCGCAGCTAAGTAACAACAAAGTTAACACCTCCAAAATCTTACGAACTCTAAGACTACAAAAGAAGCCGACGGCGATGGTGGGGGTGGTAGTGGTAGTGGGTCGAAGTTTCCTCAGGATGGGGATGTGTTGGTCTTGGATCACTTAGATAATACTGGCGTTGCTGGCGGTGGGCATGGCTTAACATCGAGAATGAAGCGTGGGAGTGTCTGCATGGTCGACATCGGAAGGACGAAACCGTTTTTACGGCTTCATGAGGAAAACTTTATAATTCATCTTTACCTCCAGCTTTCATGTTCATCTTTTCTCCTGAAGAGACGGTGAGCATCTGCGGCCTAGCAAGTCAGCAGGAAGTAGATACTTGTAAACTCAAACACACCTCTAACATTATCCGGCACAGCAGAGGAGCGGGACGAACAAGCAGCCGACATCTACCTAGACGTCGATGCAGCCAAAAGAGCAGTTGAGAGGCATGTGCGGCAAGGCGATTTCCGATTCGTCCTAGGACATCCTGGAGTCGATTACCGCTTAGATGTCGGGGAAGCGGACAACGAAAAAGAAGAAATGCTGCTGTGGTGGCAGGAATGTGGTTATGATTTGAAATCAACAAAGAGCTGAAAATCTTTCTTGACAGAACACAGCAGTGCAGTTCAAATAGAACTCGGTGAAGTGTGATCACGTTCTCGTGAAAAACCAAGATTTATAAGCTTTTGATTCTTGTACGTAGTAGTAGACCTCCTCCTGCTGCTCTTCATCTAAGCCCATGCACAGCGCACTGCGCGAGCAGGCGCTGCTCGGAGAAGAAATGCGGGATATGCGGAGGAATTTGAAAAAGGATACGTCACCACGTGATTAATACGTCAGTAGAGAGTTGTGCATGAAGACTAAGACAGCCAGCCAATTCGTCTTTGATTTAGACGAGTGCGTGAACGTGAAGACACGATACTTCGATGAAATTCTCATCATCTAGCTTTCTTGTCACAGGATGTGATTTGAAGACCAAAACACATTCAAATTGAAGACAACATCATGTGATGTGTACCACTTTCAAACTGCAGATGAAGAACAATAAATATTTATAAATAGAAAAGAACCGTTATTTTCACTCTGTTGATGAAGTTTCCGCTATAGTATGTCGGTCTTATGTAACTGCTTTCCGTTGAGTGATGTTTTCCACTATGAAGAGAGAGATGATTAGGTCTGTTTCATAGCTAGTACTGTTGAAAAGCCGCACCGCGTGGTTGTTCTGTTTGTTGAGAGTCAAGGATATAGTGGTGGTTGATCATGTTGGTGTTCAGAGAAATTCACCAGAAAGTAGAGCTAACAAAAAAGCAATCTGTTGCGATCCCGCTTTATCTGTGGTCAGATCAACATCTGAGAATATATATGGCTGCAGGCATTCCTACTTGCTTCTCGTCTGAGTGATGCGCTCTTCCTATCGTTGCTTCAAGTCTACCGTGTCTACTCAGGAATTCTCCTACACCATGACTTCCCATATTTAAATTTATAAGAGTTTGCCCCTAGCTCACGATGGATACCCTACAAAGATGAAAAGAACTCTTCGTCTTGTAGATTTTGATATTCTGTCGTTGCTCCTCCTTTTAATTTTTCTTATACCGTTGAACAATTGGTTTGGGTTCGTTTACCTCCTGATACTTGATTGCTATTAACTGACGAAGATGAACTTATTAAATGAAGCTTTATTAGTTTTGATGAATCTGCAACTGATGCGATTCCTCTACTCCATGTCGTGTGCAAAAATAGCCTCTTCCTCCTGGTCGAATTTGAAAAGATGACATATTTATAATCTAGTACTTGATGCCAGTTGTTCTACTTGCTTGTTTTGACTCTCACTCTCCTCGTTGCATCATGTACTATTCGCAGATGGACCCTCTTTGAGGTCGTGAGTGGATCGACTTCGATTTATAGCCGTCCCTTTGAGGTGGAAGCGTCAAGAACGCAGAGGAACTGGAAGGTAAATTCAAAAATTCAATAGGAGGCTACATTTCCATTTTTTAGTTGAAATTATGTTGCCCCTTCTCGGTCTCGGCACGGCTTCCGCCGCAGCCGCTGGCGTCGCAGGCTTGGTGGGCCTGTTCTCCTACAACCATGGGAACTGGACCTCAGAGGGTCAGAATCGACAAAGCCTGTTATACCATCTCCAGTCCATGCGGATGTCTCAGGCTGAGCTTTACAGAGACGATCTGCGTTCCATGTTCTCCTCAGTGGATCAGAAAATGCAAAGTTTGGTCCTTGTTGCCTCCATTCTACTTGGTGTAGCGTTTAACCTGCTCTTGTCGAGCAGTATTTACGAAAACGACTACCCAATGTGGACGGTTTTGTACCTCGGAACTCACGTCTGCAGCAGCTTGCTGCACTTAGCCTTGGCTTTGTACTTTTCGGTCTACAGTTCGATTGCAGCTGTTGCGGCGATGGTGCGCGTACTGACGCAGGAAGTCCGTATCCCGATACCCAATTTGGACGACATCAAGTACGGGATGTCGTACGCCAGTGACTTTGAGCAGCCGAGGAACGTACACGAAGCTTTGAGGATACCGTTTCTGATGCAGACTGGAGGGCGGAGGCAATACATGGGCGAAGGATGGCCAGAATTACTCGCGAGGAGAATCTTTGGCGTCCAAAGCGGCGAAGACACGGAGGACGGCGTTTACCGTAGGTTTCTGCGCTTGATAGGGTCGGATCCGCAGGCCGCATCAGATACGGGTAAACAAGTATTACGGGTAGGTTAAAGGTGCTTTTCTTAGTACCGCTTTTTATGCCTCTCTCCCTTAAGATGAGAAAGGCATAACAAGCGGGGTAAGCGAGCACCAAAAATCTACCTCTAAAAGTAGATGGGAAATTCGTTACTGTAGCGAAAGATAGGTATGTTGATACTTCTCCTTTGGGCAGAGCAGCGATGGACGGGATGGCAGGCATACACGCGGGACATCACGAATTCACTGCAGCAGAGTTGTGCCATATGAGTGGGCGGGTAGGAGGTGCTGGAGCCTCTTCAGGTGGAGCAGGAATGATGATGAAGAACGGAAGATCATATGGAGGTAGCAGTGCTATGGCTGGTGCTGCATCCGATCCCTCTGGAGGCATTGGTGATAGAATTGTGGTAAACAATGGAGAGCAGGGTCGCATAAGCGCCGGGTCCAGTAATAGGGTTCGCTTTTCGGCTGCAGCAGATCAACATGAAAGGAGTGGAGAACTACGAAAGCTGAATCTGGTAAAACCAAGTAGGAAACATACTAAGAGGGGTGTTAAGGGTATGTTGATGACTGGGGAAACGTTCAATTTCGGACACGAAGAAATTTTCGCTAGTGACGACGAGGACCGCGCGCGAGATCAGCAGCATCTTCAAGAAAGTAAAAACGCAAATGATCATCTATCGAAGGCTGTTGAGATCCGTAAAGAACGCAAAGACGCTGCTATTCGGCATTGGGGTCGAATCGTAAGGCATAAGTTGCGAATGCACTACTTTCAGACTGGCTCTGCCGTGGACAACTACAACTGTGACCTTGATTCGTTCATGTCCTCGTCGTCGACAAGTAGTTCTTCCTTGAGAAGTAGTCGTGATGAGACGAATGGAGCATCACCAGGTGGTACATCCTCTCGTCCAGGTGGATCTAGAAGTAAAAAGTCTCGAAGCGGACCTTCACGTAGGCAGCGGAAAGACGCGTCGCTTGCCGCACCACGAGTCCGCGTGCATAGCAGAATGGTAGAATTCTTGCCGGAGGACCACATGAAACCGCCTGAGCAGGATATCGCGAACTGTTTTCACTTCCGCCACTACCACGACTTCGACAAGCGATGGGGCGCATTTCAGAAACTAGCGAGAATATGCCTGGCTTTGGGGACGTCCTCATTGTTTAGCAGTTTGAGTGCGTTTGTGCTGATGTCAGTGGTGTATTCGAGGCGGTTGTTTTTCCCAGGTTTCCTGTTCATCTTCATCCTCACAATTGTGCAAATTTGCATTCAAAAAGTTGAGGTAGCGAGCAAGTTGCCTCTACGGTTAGACGCTTGCCTCGCTTTAGAGAGTCTCATTGCTTGGACTATTGTGGTGCTGATCGACGTCAGCGGAGAGTACGAACGTTTTGTGCCTTTGGTGTTCTTCGTCAGACTAGTGTATCTCCGCGAACTGATCAAGTTGACGCCGTTTTTAGGCTCTGGGCGAAGTTTCGAGCATTTCCGCAGTGCACGATTTGCAGAATACATGACTGCGAGCACGCATGTATTGAACTCGGAGAAGGAGGCAGCGATGGCACATCTGGATAAGGCTGAGGCGGATGTAGGAGCGCAACATGCACACGCGGAAGTGGTGGAAGAAGCGGCAAGAAGAGCTTCATCAAAGGGTAAAACTGGTGCTGGTGAGAATGGAAAAAATCAAGATGTTGGGTCATCTTCTGCAAATAACATGTTGATAACATCTTCTCCTGCTGCACGAAATGAACTGCATCAGTTGGGCGCGTTAGCGGAAAGGAAGAGGCCAAAGTCCACTACAGAATTGAACTATGCTTTACCAGTGCGGAGTTTGGCTGCGATGAACAGGCAAAGTCAATTGCGAAACCGCGACAGCCAAGAAATGCGATACTTGGAACAATTGGAGGAAGAACAAGAAAGAGAAGGACCAGGTGGACCACGAGGTGTTTTTCCAGGTTCCTATGCTTTAGAAGTGAGAGTCCAACGCCTTTTGAATCTCTTTGAGCATGCTTATACCTTAATCCAGATGGACGACGCGCGGATCGGTGCTGTCCAGGCCTGTCGCAGGACCTTTGATAAGAGCAGGCGGCAACTCTCCAAACGCTTCCCAGACGCACTGAGACCGGATTTAACGGTTGCTGATGGCGCTAATGCAGAGTTTGACGGGAAAAGATACCTAGATGGAGGTGCAGCTGTTGGTGGAGGAAGTGCTGGTGTAGCCACCCTTCCCTATGGAGGAACCATGACGTCAAGACCAGCCAATGATCTTTTCTCGATCGAGGCAGCAGAGGATCGTAGAAGTAAACTCGTTGGAGATGCAGTAAGCAGGATGTTTTCGACCGGAGGTCACCAGATGAGGGAAGGAAGCCATCAATTAGCATCCAAGAATACAAGTACAGAAGATGACGAAGAGGAAGAAGAGGGTGCAATACAAATCCATATATCGGCCCCAGGATCGTCGTCAGATGATGATTCTTCGTCAGCACCTGCAGTTGATCATGCGGAGCATTCAGATTCATCTGGAAATCAAAGTGCAGCATATAGAAATAGAAGTGGATCCTCAGCTGGAGCAGCATCTTCAAGAAGTTCGAGGAGAAATCAATCGCCTTCGAGCTCCTCGGAGGATGACAAGCACAGCTCTTCAAAAGCTTCTTCTGACCAAGAGGGCCTAGAGCAACGAAGAAGACCCGCTCGTGGTCGCGGTGCAAGAGGTGAAGGCTCTACTGCTGAACTTCGGGATTCCCCTAGTCTAGTTGCAGCTTTGGACGCATTGAATTCCTATACTACACCTTCACCTGGTGCTACGGGAGATGTTGGAGGTTATAGCTCCTACGGTACCTCGTACGGTGGATACGGATATGGCGCTTCTTCATCCGCGGTGCCGACTTACTCATCTGGATACGATACCGTTGGCGCCGGTGCAACTACTTCTGGAGGAGTATTTGGCGCTAATCATGATGTTAAACAAACAGCAGCAGGCGGTGCTTCTACGTCGTCAGAGATGGCAGAAAATAAACCTCGACGACCATGGACCACGTCTAGCATAATCCCACCCGATGACGCCTGGGTCGAGCTATACTACAATGGTAGTCGCGGACTGCACTTGCCTTACTACGTGAATCCGGTGCTGATGACGAATTCTTGGACCCGGCCTGAAAACGTGCCCAACGAAACGGAGTACCACATTCCGACATTGCTTACGCTTCAAGTGGACACACGGCTGTTCCATTTAGGGGTTAAAGATGCGGTTGCAGCTCTGGTGCTGAAGGAGGGACGAGATGGGGAGGAAGAGGGAGAAGATGGGGGTAAGCACGGCAGAAGTACGATTGACACAAAACAAGCAGGTACTAAACAAGCGGAAGGTGAGCAACTCCAAACAGAAGTAGATGAACAGGGTAACGTCGAGAATCTTGCTTCGCAGGAGGAAGAGGGTGAAGATGAAGCAGAAAATGTAAATGATATTCATGATACTTCTGGTGCTTCTGACCACAATAGCGAGGACGAAAATTCTCCTTCTGTTCAAGAGGAAGAGAGGCAAGAAATTGAGAAGGAGTCTTCTACTAGCGACGTTGCTACAGGAAAGGACAATGAGCAGCAGGTTGATGAAGAGCAGGAAGATAAGCTGGCGGATGATGCGATCACAAGAGAAGGTAGTAGAGACAACACGAACATGGCTGCTCTTCCTGCTGCACCTACATCAACGACCACCACAACCAACATGAAGCCAGTCGAGTCTTCTGAGGCGGATGATGACTCTGATGACAGCGATGATGATATGGTCTTTGACGTGCTACAGGGAGAAGCCGTGGCTGCTCGTGTAGGCGCTCAAACTGAGCGCCCTTCACGCAAGGTCATGGGCGGTGGAAATTATGAGGGTGCACACAAAGCAGAGCGCGTAGGTGGTGGACTAAAAAGAGGTCTAGTTCGTGGAATTGACGCTTCTGAACAAGATGACCGAGAAAGGGAAAGCACAGAGACGGAGAGCGAGGTACTAAGCCAACAAGATGAAGGGTTGCGTGAAACACAGCTGGCGAGCCCAACTGGTGGTCGTCAAAGTATGCACTTGAATGGACGCAAAAACAATACCAAGCTCAAGCAACGAATCGGAGGACTGTTGCATAGAGTCCTGCAGGACATGTCTAACGCTAAGAAGTCTGGTACATCAACAAGCAAGAAAAATGATGCTTCCAAAGGAGGCCCATTTTCGTCTAACAGTGACGATGAAGTCGGTGGTTCGGATGATGATATGTTTCCTACTGCACAGGGCGGTGGACGAGGACGACCAAATAATGAAAATTATACCAAAACCAAAGGAGCTGAACCAGGTTCAGGAAGAGCAGGAAGTCAATCTCAACATCACGTCACGCCCTTACCTGGACGCCTGTTTCGCTTGAGCACGGCTAGTATCTTTGCCTGCTGGAGCCTGGGCTTCCTGTGGTGCATTTTGGTGTACTCAATCTTTTTGGAACGGAAACTAGTTTCGAAACCAGGTGGCGAGGGATTTGGTTCATCTACTAGCTCGTTGAATCTAGGCTCTCCTCTTCGAAGGAAATTGGGACGAGGAGGAGTAGAAGAGGAAGACATTCATCAAGACCGCCAACAACGAGAAGTAGTACATGTCGATGAAGAAGTAGAGGATGAATCCTACTGGTGTCCGGATTCGACACTTGTCTGCCGTTTTCTTCTCCGGGTCTTCAACAAAAATATCGCAACCCCTCGAGGACGTCAACTTCAACATATTGTTCATAACATCAACTACCAGCAGCAGCAGGGCAGCTTAACGGCCACTACTTCAAGTCCTCAACATCATGTGTATGGAGTGAACAATCAGCATCCAGGTAACACCAGTCCTTCGAATTATCCATTAAGAAACAGCGCTAACAGTAAAAAGCAGATAACATCACCTGCGCTGCTTCAAGAAGCCCACCAGCAGCATCGCGTTGAGACTCTAGCCGTGATTCTTTGTGACCGCATGTCTGCGAAAAGGTGTGCCGCGAAGCAGATTCGCCCTATCAGTCGGAAGCTACGCAGTGACGTCGATTTCGAGGAAGATGGTTTGATATCTATGGCGGAGATAAGGAGGTATCTAGAAATCGTGAACGAAGATGGAACTGAAGCTGATGAGGATGATGTGAGAATTTGGAATTTTGCTATTGAACTGCAGCGTTTCGTACAGGATCACGAAGAAATAACTCCGGCAGAACAAAAAAACTAATGATGAAGAAAGGGGTAGAAGGCGAAGGATTTTTACAGTCTCGGTCCTCATTCTTGACGAGGTTTATGGGACTTGTTATGTCAAGATTCTTCGTCGTGCTCGTGTACAGAAAGAAGTCTAGATTATGGCTATATCCCATCGTTATCTTGATGTTGAATCATGAATGAAGTAGATCAAGATGCATTCTTGAAATGGACACGAAGACAACTACTAGTTTTTGTTTGAGAAGTGTTACTCTACAAAAGCACACCCAATGAACTTCCCAACATTCGTCCCTTCATACGAATACAGTATTTTTTTTTTGTCCTGAAGTATGTAAGATCATTTACTTCGATCATAAAGAAGAGCGAGGACAGTCACACCTCGAAACCTATCGCCTCATAATGTGTTCTTCAACTGTGCCTCAGCAAAAAACAATCGCAGCACGCCGGTTAGTGCAACTACAAGAACTACAAGAACGTCGGCGCCGGAGATTGTTTATGATTAATATGAGAAGGCAGACGCAGAGGCACGTGATTGGCATTGGGCAGACGCCATTAGCTGGGCAGTGCAGGATGAGCTTGTAAAAATCTCAAGTCTCCTGAAGGTATTGTCAAAGCTTGTGAAAATCTCTCAGGTATTCTCAATTAAGTATAGAGATCATAGACTTGGAAAGGAGCATAATCTCAAGCCAACCTTTGATTCTGGACTCCCTCCAGGAGGGGAGCGACCTTTTCAAGTGGCTAGTGAATACTTAAGGCCGCTCGATAATAAATGAAAACATACACGCTATGGTCACGGTCAGGCAACAATCATGTCGGGAGTTTCTTGCGATATCCAGGGAATCGATACTAACTATACTTTTTGAGGGTGGGAACAACAAGCAAGAACATGATGTCCTGTGGATGGTAAATCCATTCCTACTCGATTCTATCCTATCATTCAACGATAGGGAATCCCTTCTTCACACCACTCAGTACTCAACAAGATCAACATAGAGACGAGTCTTGATGTCTAGACCGTCACGTTCCAATAGAAGAAGATGCTCGGACGAGACCAACTTTGTGCTTCAACCACGACAACTTCTTCAACCACAACAAGGAGGATGTTGACGGAAGTTTGATGTACCAGTATGAGGAGAACAGCACGATGTCGGTAGTCGTGCAAGTACCCGGAGTCCTCTCATTTGATGTTCATGTATGGAATCCGAATCCTTCTTAACCTCCTCGAGCTATCGGCCGCCATTTTGTCTCTAGTACGGTGGTCACGAATCAATGGCCATATCATCTTCACGACCTTTGTTTCTTATTCATCTTCAGCGACCTTTTTTCGGATTTTTTCACGCGCTCTGTTGGTGGCTATTGATGTACTGACTTGTTACCGAAGTAGTGCATTTACTGTTAAATTGTTATATTGATGAATCGGTATTCGTATTTAGTAGTAGATAAGTGCTTGCCTGACCTTTCCTTCCTCTCCTTGCTGAGATTGAACAAACTAGAAGAAGTTTCTAGTACAAGGAAGAGAACCTTTATACCTACTTCGCAAAAAGTCTCGAAAATTTGATTGTAGTTTTCTTGAAATTTGAGGATGAAGATGTTCTTTGTTCCACGACCTAGCTTGATAAACTACATTCATCTTGCTGACGAGAGGTAAGTAACATCTTGCTGCGAGGTAGCTACAATAAAAGCTTTGACTACATGATGACATGACATGGCTGCAGGAGCATGACATTAATCAGGAGAATGAAGAATTTCGTCTCGCCTGTGATTCAGGAGGAGCAGCACCAGATATATGAACATGTGTTCTTAAGCAACTCCTGTGAAGCTGCAGCAAGAGCTGTGATACTCGCGCGCCCTTGTAGTTGTACTTGTTTGGGATTGATATATGACTCACTTGGACTGGAGGAGGTCGAGCACCAGCTATTGAATCTCCATTAGTAGAGGACCACGAAGCGCTGACGAAGCGGTAGTTCCGCATTTCCATGTTGTGATCTTTGTTTCATGATGAGGTCAAGGTCATGAAGATAAATGATGACATCATGACGACCGCGGTCATAAATAGAATTCAATGAATATTAGTCTCATATTGAATCTCTATTAGAGGACCACGAAGGCAACTGCAAACATCAAGAAGATCACGATCGCTGTGTCCTTCTCGTCTGAGACAAAGTCTGAAAAGTCGTCCTCTGCTACTAGTGCTACGTCATCAACCCCTAGGAGTCGTGGCGACATGAAAGTCGTGAAACAAGGTACTTCTGAGGGAGACTCCGACCGAGACTGGCTTCCTAGTGGTCTGCCACTCCTGAAAGAGAGCGAAAAATCCGACCTCTCCACGGCTCAACTCGTCAAGCTATTTTTCATCTTGGTGGTAGAGTTGGGGATTGGTGTTTTGCTAGCTGTTGGAGCTTTAGCAGCCAGTGAGAGGTACGCCATCTTTTCAGGGAGAACGAGCAATCCAGGGGTGGCGTTAGACGTGATCCAAAAATTTGAGTTGGAGTATTTGTACATTTTACGGACAGTTGACGACTCTAGTACAACTATGTAAATGCTTCCGCTATTTGGTAACCTGAATTTGATCATAAGGGAAAACAAGAAGAGAACCCTTCTTGTGATCAAATTCAGGTCGCCAAATACCGGAAGCATTCATACTAAGAAGTCTTCAAACTAGACCACGGGGAGACGATACTCTTACTCAGAAACTACTAACTTGATCTAAGATCTTCGTTATTTATCACACGACGGCACTCTTGCAAGTGCTGCAACTACTTACGTTCTTTCTTCAAATCCCGAAACTACCTTGATATGAACCACAGGAACTACTAGTTCCCCCTCCTCGCCTTCTAACATCGGCTTTGGTCATACTAGGACGAACAGTGTCCTGGGTAAACATGTATCCGATGGTTGTCTGGAAGCAGAGGGTGATGCATATGAAGGCTGGCAACCTGAGAGCCAACATGCAAATCTTCAAGATGATTGGGGATGGAGCGGTAAAAGTAGATTGTTCTTGTATTTTTTGATGTAGTTGTTCTACCACGACCTGAAGGAAAATTCATTGTTGTCGTTATTAGGTTTTTTATTTGCGTTCGTAGCACAATTTGGATCTCATTTTTCATCTCAGTCTTCTCGAAGTCAGAGAGGCTTTCGCCGTTTCTCTTATCTGATGATGTTCTCCTCGAAACCGAAAGAAATGTCCACCTCCTCTTCCGCCAGGGCTCCAACGCAATAGTTCTCGAGACGGAAGGAGATGTTGGGGGATACAATCGAGCTAATAGGTCTCTCACGCATATGGTGGAGAACATGGCCGCTGTTTTGGTTCTTATGTTGGCGGTCGGTTTCGTCTATCCACTGCTGGCTTGCCTCTTCACCACATTGTTATGGATGGGAATGGTCACTTTAACTTTTTAAATTGATATCTACCTGCTCTACTCGTACTTCTGTAGCACAACTAGCTACATGTCTAGTAAAATTTTTACTTCTAAAATGCTGGTGTTTCGGCCGGGTGTCACATCAGATGGGGTATGCAACCGGCGGCTACGGCAAGCATGGAGCTGGATTCGGGTTGTCTGCTATAGCGTCTGGCGCTTTGCAAGGACTCTGTTGCTTGATCGTTTGGAAGACGATTTTGAGATAAGTACGATAATTAGTTTGAATACAACCAAGCACTAGTTGGTTGAAATAGTAGTTCCTCTACTGCTGAGAACGCTCTTGTGGTGTAATCCTCTGCTATTAAAAGCACGTACTTACCTATGAAAACAGCGCGTTTTTTGTTTTCTCCTAGAAGAACTGTGCGAAGCAAGTTTAGAAAAAAAAGAACACAATAACACTATTTGTCATGCTGTGCGACCACGAACTTGATCATCTGCTACGCAGATGTGATTGTGTTTGAAGATGATTATGACATGAGGATATAATGGCCAGCCAGATTCACAACTACTACAACGTCGGTGTCACTTGTCAGAGGTCTTTTGGGTACAACTAGGCCCGTCCTGAAGTTTTGGGTTTTCAGAAAGCAACAACTGCTTTGGGCTAATGACGAAAGCGGTAAAAGAGACAATTTTTTTGGTCCTGACTGTACTACTTACTCTTCTTCGGTTCAACACATTATGATGTGAAAGGAAGCAAAAACTGAAGTACTCTTTTTACCCAAGATGAATTTCTAACAAACTCAAGACGACGAAGCTTCTATAGAAGATGGTGTACAATATTGATTTAGTAGGTGTACTAGGATCATCCTTTTTCTTCAGATTCTAATTCAGTCAAGAAATCAACAACATGTCCTTTATGAGGTTGGCCACTCTCTTTAGTTTGCTCAACATTTTAGTTGTAGTTGTACCGGCAGCGCACATACGACTCGCAACTACACATGCTGCAGAGGACCAACTACAATATGGACAAGACCTTCTACTCCTCCGAGGAGAGGTTGGCGAAAGTTCTCCCGGAAGTAAGGATGAAACATCACCAAATCAAGAACAACATCAAGGTTCTTTGGGCGATCAGGATGAACACACCACTACTAGAAAGAATACAGCAATTGCAATTGTTACTCCAAGTCCAACTAGTAGTACGAGAACTACAAGGATCAATCCCACCGATGTCTCGGACCTTGCGCGCAGTGTCCGAAGACTCTATTTGGATCCGAACTCAGTGGCACGCCTGGCTTCCTGTTGCACTGACGCTGCGCATACTATACGAGAAGAATTTGCATCCGCGGAAACGGAGTTGATGCAATTGCTAACAGCGTTTTTGGGTGGCCTGGGAGACGAGGGAGATTACAATGTTGCAGAATCACGACCGGCAGAAACAGAAAGACGAGAAGACATTAGCAGAAGTTGTCCAGGACGAGGAACAAGTAGCTCATCTTGTCGTGGTGGATGGAACAAAAGATCTTCCAGCCAGTTCTTCTCGGCTAGAGGTGAACCACAGAATCACGAAAAGGGAACAAAACATCTTCCAGCCAGCGGTCTTTTCGCGGGATCCTCGTCTCCTACCCAACTAGTTGAAAGAATGTCCGAGATGCATGCTGGTCGAACTGCTTTGATTAAGGCTAGAAGTGTTAAGGTTTTCACAGGCCGTTAGATAGTGACAGTGACTATGATCTTCTTCCACTGCCAGTCGCTGCTTCATCAATCATCATCTAGTGAGGACGGAGTAGCACGCTCCTTTTATATCCTTTCGAGTAAAGTCCTCATCATGATAGTCATAGTTGTACGAGTAAAGTCCTCAAGAGGACACCTCCACCAGAGAAAATTAAAGACAACAACCCCTGGAGGTGTTCTCAACCACGGTCTCGCATCGAGAGCAACTTCCTCGACGTCTAACCCAAGCCTAGACCAGCTTTTAACGGTGCTAGACTCTGCAGGGATGGGAAATGCAGGTGTTAGGAAGAAGCTCACAGACTTGCTCTATTCGAAATATCGAGCGGCTGGTGATAGTTATGAACACGATTCTATGTTAGAGGACCTTAGAAATAGTCATTTTTAATCTTAATTTTTGTTAGTTTGCCGATTCATCTTGTTTCTTGTTCAACGATGATGTTGATGTGGAATGAATCTGCCTTGCTCCTCTAATTTGAATTTCCCAGCACCTTATCACCTGGTGACGTCCGTAGAAATCCATTACGGAGGGTCGAGCCCGTAGATATCGGCGGAGGGCCCCGACGTCGAACGAATCTACTCTCAGCGTCAAGCGGTTCCTGTGCAATTGCGTGGCCTAGTCAGCATAGATTGCAAGAACAGCAAGGGCTGAGAAGAACAAAGCACGAAGTAGTAGATTATGTTGGCACAACCACGACAAGCACAAGAAGTGACCATAACCATAACCATACAAGAGCCACTACCACGAGGACTACTTCGACTAAAGAAATATCAAAGGACGAACTTGAAGACGTGGATGCGGATGATAACAAGAGTTTGCAAAACCTGCTAGAGAACAAGAAAGAGAACGACTACAGTTAAGGCTTCCCCTAATCCATCCCTGTAGGCATCCCTCAGACATATGCGCCCCAATACAAGGGAGACACTCACGCATATGCTTGAGGGATTTCCACAGGGGTGAATAGGGGAGAGCTCTAATACAGAGAAATTAATCGAAACCTCGTCGAGAAAGTAGATGCGCCATCTTCTTCATCAACATCGACTTGTTCCCGCTCCCGCAGGAGCTCTGCCTGCAAACAAGAACAACTACAAGCTCAGCATCATCCAGACCACCAGCCACAACATCAGCATCATTCGCACCACGCGCTGTCAGCACGATTTCTCTTTACTTCGTGTGACCTCCCACGAAGGTCAGATCTGAGTCGAGGGTGCATTTTTGACATCGTGAACCTGCCCGATTTTTATCTGAAGATTTATCGACACCCATTGGGATTGACCTTATGACAGGGGGAGCTAGTTGAAGAAGTTCATCTTGTACTTTCGAAGATGAACTACAGAATCTGTAGAAGATTCTGAGATAGTGAAGCTTATATATAGCAATAGTCGTGAAGTAGATCATAGTACTGAGTTGTGCTTCTAGTAACAAGAGAATCATTTTTATATTAGCGTGTACTAAAATCATATTGAAAAACATTCTACATCTACTACTAGGCTGTAGAGCAAGAACTTGAGTACTACAACTAGACTTCTGATTCTTCTATGAGCGGATCGCAGAAGTCTCTTCATCTAATTTCTAACCGCGAAGGACGGGATTTGCAGACGCTGATCAGTTTCATGCCAAAGGATCAGAGCCTTGACGTATGGGATCGCGTCTTGCTGAGCGATCTTAGTATAGGGTGAGTTTGTAGTAATGAACTACTTTCTTGAAATTCTAAAGTCGGCATGCTGATGCTTATAAGGGGAGTTTGAACTTTTGCATACTGATGTTATTATACATAGGGGGAGTTTTTTTTAACATTGTAGGTTGTTGAGTAGTTTGAAGTTTTTCAGCGTTGAAGAAAGCATGGATGTTACGTGCGAGTACGTGGCCACTACTTTGTACGCAAGTTTGTAACTAATGTGTAAAAATTGAAGGAACCAGCATCAACTTCAAGAACTTTATGATCATGAAATAATACTAGGTATAGGTTTAGGTAGTAGAACAAGTAAGTACTAGTAGTAGAACAAATGATATAGAATACCGATTCAGTTTCAGATTCGTCTGTGGTTTGCGAAGATTCGTCTGTGGTTTGAGAGCAACATACATTTCGTTCTCTATAAGATGCTGAGAATATACTTCATTATGTTTTTTATCACGCGATTTCGATTATAATGCTGAAATCAGGGCATTTTCTTGAGGAGAAGCAGCTGCATTTTTTGTACGATCATGACTGAAGTTTGTTAAAACGCAAAGGTTGAGTCAAAAAAACCGAAGGAATCAAAATTCTTACTCATATGTCGGACCTCCCTAGTACGCCGACGGGGAACAATGGGTTATCTTCAGGTTGGGCAACATCAATTGTAACGTCGCCCTCGTCCGATATATTACAGTTTTGTTCGATGGAGAATGTCTTTGCCAACAGCTACTGTGTAACAGCTGAACAAGATGATCCAACTTCTCAGGTGGAGAAGCATACAGAAGATCCACGTTCGAAAGATATTGTGGACGACCAGTCGACTACTTTTAGCTTTCATTCTAATCGTATTTGTTCTTGTAAGTGTCTGCATGAGAATGAAATATAGTTGAGTCATGAACTAGTTGTAAGTAGACAATAAGTCACTTTGCAACTGCAAGCAACAGTAGCATGATTAGGCTCTTCTTCAGATATAAAAAAGAAAACAAGTAGCTCGTCGTCTCATTCATCAATATCTCTCTCTCTCTCTCTCTCTGATGTCTTGCTAATTTTTAGACACATCTTCTATTTTTATCTTGTTCTTCAATTTTCGTTGATTGTTGTAGACCAGAAACAAGTGCACTACCTGCTCATACATTCGTCTTCCTAATAAAAAGAAAAGATGGCCGCGGGGGCTCCTGCAGTGATGAACGCGTCCACGACGAGCCTTGTTCTAGCTGCGCCGCAAATGAGTGCCCGTTGGCTCATGGCGCTACCAACAGTGGTCCTTCGGTGTCCCTGTCCGTCCTCAGCCTGTTCTATGGTTTGGCTGCGCCTCCAAAAACTACGGGAAACGAGGGCTTTTCTTCTGAGTCGACACTATGAGACGACCAATGGCGGAGATGCAAACACGACAGCTTCTTCTTCTTCTTCTTCTAGTCGACCCTATGAGTATGAGACGAGCGGCCCGAAAAATAGAAGGAGAGCCACTTCCTCCTGTGAGGATTACACGAGAGACATCTCAAGCGGAAGTGGTTATCCTTCTCCCTCTAGAGCAGTAAGAAGTCACGATACTTCTAGGAGTAGTTCACTTGATGCTTCTGCTGAGGACGGGGACAACATACATCATCCTGAGTTGAGCCTAATGCTGAAACAAAAAGCAGAAGCAGCATCCTCTGGTTCGGGGAACAACAGCGGGAATCATATGCTGTTGAAAGGACCAAACTGGCATAATATGCTGACATCAAGAACGAGACTTGGAGGACTGCTGGGAACCTTAGGTTCAACAGGAGACTCTAGCAGTGAGAATATTCATCTTCGAGTACCTACTAATAATTATCGTGCTTCTCAAGGTCAAGATGGTCGTGTACAAGACCCTGGTCGTGTTGTACCAAATGACAGGCAGAAGCAGCAGATGAGTGAAAGCATAGAACAAGAATTAGGAACACCTTCGGAAAAGCAAAAGGAGGACCTCACGAATCGGATTACGGTAGAAGTTTGCGGAGAAAAAGTTGACATGATATCTTCTGGTCGCACACATAAAAATGGTAGTTCTTCGGAAGATTTGATTTGCATGCGAACCTCCGAGATGCTTGACATGGCTGAAGAAGCAGCCCAAAAATGGAAACCGGTCATAGAAAAACTCCAGACTCGTACTTATAATGAGTGAACAAGTATGTTCTCGTATCATGCTGCTAGAGCTACCGCCAGTCACCGCCGCGTGCCAATAATCATCGGGATGGAGATCGGCGGGGTTTCTCTGAGTCTGCGATACCGCAAGGACAGTCATTATACCTACTTATGCAGACCAGCAGATCAGAATCCCAGCACCGCAGATGTGTGCGACTGCGAACACAACTACTGCGTAAATGACTACAGCGTAAACGACTACCGTATACACGACTGCCGCTCCGTCTACGCACGCAACAAGAGAAACCAAGATTGTGTGCGAGAAACAACAGACTTTATTTGGCGGCTGCCTGGTGCGCCAAGAATGGATATCAACCGTCACAAGCTCTCGTCTCCTTATTTCCAGATCGACTTCAGGGCATCCATTTCGATACCCCCCAGAGCATCTTGCATGTCAATCCTGAAGACCACCAACCTTTATTTCCGTATTCGTCCAACAAGTAGATGTAGATCCGGATATTAATGGTTCCGCGGGAATACAGTCGCTGAAACTAAATTATAGGGAGGTGCTGAAGAATAAGAATTGGCTTTGGCATTGGACTGACACTGTCGTAGGAGGAATTTCAGATTCAAAATTTCGCTTTCCTCGAAAGAAATTGGTTTTATTCACTTCTCGTTTTTTTTCATTATCAACAAATTCTGGTGGTCGCTTTTCTTTCACTATGCTCAGATGAAATATTGGGTGTCATCACTCTATTATGAGGAATTTGTTTCGATATCGAATATACTCTACTAATGATGCAACATTTCATATTTCTTATTTTTTAAAAATGTAACAACCTCCTCCATAAATACCACGAAGTCTAGATTAGGACAGGTGGATAAGTTTGGGATCATGTGTTGTAAGTGATTTTTTTGGATTAGTATGCATTTTCATAAACATACGGAAAAAAAAAAGAAAATATAGAGAAAAACAATGTTTGTTGGAATCCCTCAAGAAATTAATAGGTTTGCATACTTTTGGTCAATCCTTGCTTCACGAGCTGCTTCTAGCTTTGTGCCCGATGGAGTAATGTACTACTCAGTTTCTTCACACATAACCTCGGCACTGCAATTGCTTCCTGTACTAAAAGACCCTCAACCTCCTTCACGTCTTCTACTACGACCTCAAAGACGAGTAGTATCATTCTACTTGAGAAAATCTAAAAATGATCATTGCTGCCCACGGATGTGTCTATGGCAAGAGCAAACTTCATTCGATGTCGTTTGAATTTGTGCAAAGCATCCACGACCCTGACAAGCATCAACAGAAATGAGTGCACACTCTAACGAGCATCAGTTCTTTTCTCGTGAGAAAGAGACGGACCAACATGACATCAGTGTTGAAGTGCATAATATAGCTGTGTGGTGTCGTAGTTTTGGCTGGCACGCACAACTAGAGAATATGAACAGTGTTCTTCAGGAGGCTCCACCTTGTCATCTATTTCGCATAGCCACAATACTAGAAAGTTTGATCATCGTTCGAGGATCGTGGTTATCGTTCACATCGGCATAATTGTAGCAGTAGCTCGCCATTCATGCTGTTCTTTGTGAAGACGACCGCAAGCCGCTTTAATAGAACAAGAGTCGAACGATGAAACAAAAGTTTTCGCCGCCAGAGTGACGAGAGAAAATGGTGACAAGGAGAAAATTTGACATCTCCAGGTCACTTCAGATCCAAGTATTGAGTTTGAGAGGATAGGATAATTTGTGATTTAGTCTCATCATTTGATGTGATTGTGATTATCACAGAAACAGTAGAAAGTGCCGCTGCATTAAATACGATTTGTCCTCTAGGGTGTCTTCGAATTTGGATGTGGAAGAGAGACACTTCTTTGTTAAGTAATTTGTCACAACGACAAGTGACTAACAACAACAAGTAGCCATGCTGCTGCATATTAAAAATATGATCTTCGCAGCGGCTGCGCCTGCGGCAGGGGTAACGTCCATGATGCGTCGTCTCGTTTCGCGCTTCGAGCAAAGTACCGAAAATATCATCATCGACGGATTTAAGTCATACCTTGAAGCCGCAAAGAAGAAGGAATGTGATAAAAAGGATCATGCTCCTGTTACTAGTGCAGCTAGAGCGCTGATGCTTGGACGTAGTGACCCCAATAAAGAAGTTACGAGCCGCGATAAACTTGGCCAGCTCGCCGCTGCAATGCTCCTCGCCGAGGAGACCCCACTTCAAGCGGCATCTGCTGGTGATGTTCATACTGATTGGTACTTCATGGCGAAGGAGTCGGAAGTGGCGACATTTGTAGACGACGGAACTGAAACTCGTACTCGGCGCGCTTACCGGATCACCATGCAGATTACAGCAGGTAGCACTAGTATAACGGACGACAGAGGACACGACCGAGAGCTCCGGATTCTGCGGGGCAATGTTATTCTTGTTGATGGCGAACCCACTGGCAACCCCCTACAAGCGCCTCAGAGCTTCCTCAAATTCACGATGACAACAAAACGAGAAGTTAAAGTTTTAGAGGACGCCTCCAAATCAAGTCCTCTTCCTCTAGGCAGCTACATGTGCCACTACTTCTACGAGTTCGTAGTGCACGAATTTCCGCAGTCTTCAGGCACGACGAGGGAGATATTGCAGACCACTTTTAGTACTCGCGAATTCAAATCCTCCATAGTAGATGACATCATCCAGGGGTTTAGAGGCTACTTGGACGGAACATCAAGGAGCCTCGTTTATTCATTGACGGATCCCGATCGCGCGGCACTGTCGACGCCGAACTCTTACGATCAAATTGAGAGTAGCAAGCAACTTGGCCAGCTCGCCGCTGCAAAGAGCGTGTTCGACGAACCCACAGCCACACCTAAACAGGTTACGTGTTCCTCAGGCTGGAACATCAAGGACTTCACCGGAGTGACGCACGCGTACGAAGTCTGCATTGCTGACCCCGAACCCCAGAAGCCGCGACTGGTCTCTATATACCATGTCCAAGCCGACGTCCCTGCGGACAAGAAGAAGTCGCCGTTCCTCCGTTTCCGGATGACAAAAGAGGTGCACCCAATTGTTGGAGCTAGTAACCCGTATTATAGACAACTCATCAAGAAGTACGTGTACCAAGTTTTTAATGTCGGCGTGAGAGGAGAGGGTTTTGAACTTACCTTTGTTCCTCCTGATGCAGTGACAAGTGTCTCTGAGATCATTTACGGATTCCTTGACCACATCATGTTGAACATGTTCCCCGCCGAGAAGAAGAAGAAGAACGATAAAGAAATCGAAGAGACAAGTCTACCACTTACCGATGGTAACATGTTTGGGACGGACATTAGCAGTGCAGCTGCGACATCTTTTAGACCTCGTGTCGGCAATGGCAAGAAAGAGGACCCGGATTATCTTGAGTGGAAGATCCATACTAGAATTGGCGGCGAACGTTTTTCGGCCGTTTTTACACCAGCAGCTAGTACACCTGTCACCTACGACACTGAGGAGGAGAAGCGGGAGCGCGAATTCGACACAGGATCCATCGAGGTACTTCGAGGTCGCGAAGCTCTCTTTGCGTTCACCAGCAGCGTCGAAGAGGAGACCATTCTTCATAACGAGAGCAACAAGCAGCTTTATTGTCAGATTAGCCGGAGCTTTAGAATCATCAGCAGAAGTACTAAAATGCCAAACCAGTTGACCATTGACTTGATCAAGGGAATCTCCATCACAAACACAGTAGAAGTGTTAGGAGGTCTACGAATGACCGAGGGACAACGATGTAGAATGCAGGCCATGCAGAACATGTTTCCCCGTTCGCAATTGTCGTTAACGTTATTTGTTGCCGCCTTTTCACAGTACATGGACTACATAGCAGGTGGACGCGAGCCGACATCGCAGAGCCAGGTCCTCGCAGCTATTGGTTATGATAGAAGAGTTGATACCGAGTGCAAAAAGGACGGGGGGATCTTCTTCTGTAGCAACGACAAGATGCTGGACTTCGTACAAAACTACGACCTCAACGACGCATCACTGGTGAGTAAGCACGGCGGGATCTCGGAGGGGACAGTAATTCTTAGAATGGATACGGTGGAGAGGCTGTCACTCGAATATTTTCACGAAGAAAGATGGCACCAAAAGAACATCGTGCGCGTCTATGTGACTGCCTTCAAGTGGCATTCTAAGGAAGCTTATCGACTCGAGCATGAATTACTAGCCTTCGATGTGCACTACACAACAGCATCTCTCTCGTACTCGGTGTCCGAGAAGAAGTTGGAAGGCGACGTCGTCGGCAAGCAATTATCTGATTGGCAGTGGGAGACGCTTGGACTTGGAGCAGAGGGGGGTCTCGGAACAGCGAGGGAGAGAACGATTGCCATGACCGACGAGCAGATGAACACGTGGAAAGAAAAGGTCGAACAAAGCAACATGAAGGGCCTCTACAGATATTCCCTTGCTGGCCAGAAGAGTGCCACGCCTCTCGCACTTACGAAAGATCTTCTTAAGGAAGTAGCAGGAATCGCACTCAGTGATGAAGAGTGGGAGGCAACGGACAAGAGGTACAAGGAGGAGGTGGGGGGGGAGGAACGTAGCTTCACACAAACGAGGACAACACCTTCACCTTCACGACTAGTAGCGCAAAACAACATCAACCACATCTCTTCCTACTCACACAATTGGCTATCTTCCGCTTACGAGAATTATCCGCTCCACATCTCCTCCTACTCACACCGTTTTCTATCTTCCGCCTACAACAGTCCAGCGTGGTTGGTCCTCCTCGGTTTTGGTGTGATCATCATACTTCTTGCGGGTTTCGTGTTCCTCTCGAAGTGCGCGCGTCAAACTGCATCCCAACTGTTTCGCTACGAGCAGACGCGCGATCGCGAACAGTCGCACAGTGCATCCAGCAACGAGGCCATTTATGGGGCCTTGGAGCGAGGTGAAGCATCTTCAGACCCCAACGTGAAGGAGGAAAAGATCAAGATGGAGCGAGGTGTTGCATCATCACCAGACGTGAAGGAGGAGAAAATCAAGATTGAGCGAGGTGAAGCATCTTCAGACGTGAAGGAGGAGAAGATCAAGATTGAGCGAGGTGAAGCATCTTCAGACGTGAAGGAGGAGAAGATCAAGATGTCGGACTTAAATGAGGTGTAGAACTAGTTGTAGTAGAAAAATGAAAGGAGTAGAAGAACAAGAAAGAAGTATTTCTGGGGGAGGAGGATAATACTTGTACTTCTTGCTTCTGGAAGTAGAAGTATTTCTGGAGAAGGAGGATAATACTTCTATAGGAGTGGAAGAACAAGAAAGAAGTATTTCTGGAGGAGGAGGAGGATAATACTTGTACTTCTTGCTTCTGGAGGTGGAGGCCGAAGAAGGACGAAGAGGGAGTAGGAGTATTATCAAGGTAGAGGATGATTTTTAGTTGTAGTACTTTTACTAGGAGGAGAAGGAGATGAAGAGCAGCAGGAGCATCATCACCATGAGCATGAAGCAATAAGTTGTCGTTTTGGAGGTGGTAAAGCGTCAACATCTATTTTCTGGAGGAGCAAACCAGGAAAATCCAACATGTTACTGTACAGGCTAGCACGACGAACGACCACGATAGGACCAGCACTATTGAACAGAACCACCAACATCATAAGAATGACATCAAGAATCAGCAAGTTGTAGTAGAACAAGGAAGTTTAGCACCAGTACTATCAAGAAGAAGAACAAGAGCAATTTATAGTAGTAGAACAAAACGAATTATATATAGAACAACGAACATCATGATCATGCGAATTTTCAGCCAGTGGTAAAGCGTCAACATCTATTTTCTGGAGGAGCAAACCAGAAGAATGCCAACATGTTACTGTACAGACTACACCATTGCTATTGAACAGCACCAAGACCAATTACAAAGTCAACATCTGGAAGAAGAATCATATGATCATGTTAATCACGACCTCAGGACTCAGGAGCCATCAGCATCAACAATTTGTAGAACAAGTATTTAGCAGCAATCATCAATATCAAGCACAAGAAGATGAACAAAACACACATCATGCGAATTTTCAGCCAGTGGTACTAGTTGTTTGACGAGGAAGTGAGAAAATTGTACTAGCTCGAAAGAAGAAGTTGTAGTTGGTGATTCATTGGATTGAGAAGGCAGGAACGACGAGGCGAGGCATGAACGAGGTTGGATGCACAGGACTCCCCGTCTTGGATGGTATTTTTGTTTTACGATCATCATGGACTTGGTGGAATGATTTGGAAAGTAGATTTTTGATTTGATGGATGAGTCTGCTGCATATTCTTCACCATGACGCCACGACCAGGTACATACGAAGAATGTTGACAGAGTGTCAAACTACTGACAACAAATGGACGATACGTCGGGAGGACTTTTGGTGGATTATTTTTGTGCATTCCGATAATATCGCAGTTTTGCAAGCATAGACGTATATCGGAGAGAGTGCAACTCTCTTGCAACATCAGGTGCATCCTTTGAGGACCCGGTTGGTAGAATCTAACAGAGCAGAAGGTACTTACGTCTTATTTGTTTGCACCATTTGCTTTTGCTTCGTAGTTTCAGTTACAACGGGAGTTGGTCCCGATTTATCATGTCAGTAGTTTCTGAGGATCTCTTGTTCTCTCTCATCTTTGTTGTATTGTGACCGTTCTTGGAATCGATTTCACTCAGTCTTACTTGTAGAATCTCCATCGATCCGCCAGGTCATCTTTGCTCTCAGAAGATTGCTCCTCTTTCCGATCGTTTTCAAGGTGGGCCGTGGGTGTATCATGAATGCGTTCGCACAACTGCTGGCGTTATGTACGAGCGCGACTTCTTGGAATTCTTGCGGGACGAAAGAAATATATGATGATTTGTAACAGTAACGCGGGGGAAGAGGAAAGTGGGTACAACTTATTTCTAGACCCCTTTTGCACATCCACATCCCCCATATACACATCCTTTGAGATTTGAAGATCATGATCTAGAAATAGTTGAGATCGAACTTCAACAAAATGTTGATGACGATGCTTGATCCTTTTCTAACCTCCTTTTTCGACCAAGGTTGTACTCGACGTCCGATTCCGTATCTCTCTGCTCGTGTTCAAATGATGCAAGTGCGGTCGTTGGAGTTGATCTTGATATTGGAAAAGGTAAATGCACTCGCACTGCTGGTGTACAACTGTACGATCTGACCACGAGTTGCGGGCAACCTGTAGATTTGCGATGCGGGCAGGGATGGAAGAGGAAAGCGTGTATTTTTTGGATTTCAACTCTACTTTCGCTGCGTATGTTGATTTGGTTGAACTGGTGATCTAGATAGTAAAGGATTTATCTTCATCTCGTCCTAGGATGCCCGATGCTGAGGCACAAACGATAATTTTTATAGTCAATACTTGGATGCCCATGCCCGCGATGAACGTAATGCTTTCGGAATCCATTTTTTCATCCAGGTGTTTCTTGTCGGAAGATTTCTTGGACTCCGCATAAAAATGAGAACAAGCGGTGGCTTCGTGAATGCGCTGCTGGCAGTGACGAGTTCTTGCGACGAGGAAAAATCCCTGTCATGCAGTTGTAGTCTTCGGGGACTCGTTTTGTAGACCTCGCAACTCTAGTGTGGCTTGCAACCTAGCGCTAGCACCAAGGGAGTAGCCGCGGTGTGCTCGTATTTTCAACGCATGTTTGTTCCACCCGGACGATACCTGTCTCCACCGGTTTTACGCACCAGTTGTCTCAATCTATTTCTTCTGGCTGAACCAACCTACTGCAACTACGACTACAAGAACTACCAACAAGAACGAGCTACTTCTTTCTACAACTACATCTTCTTACAGCGACCTATTCTTGCTGAAGTGAGCACTTTTTGAATTATGTTTATCTGAAGCATTCAACGTAACAACTGCATTTTAGTATTCTCCTAACATCACGTCAGCATTTCATTGGAATTCAATCTATCATCACAGCATGTTGTTGCCTCGATGCTAAGTAACCCACAAGAAGACTTGCGCAATTCATCACAACTACATTCACTAAAACTAATTAGAAGAACCAATGAGCACGTAGAGAAACAAAAATTACGTAACCACACCAAATCGCAGACCCTCTTGAAACGATTGTATTTGTCATCCTCACAACTTGAACTTGTCATAGTTTTCATACTTATCGTTATGATTTTTATCTCCATCCAGTATCTGTCCTTTCCCATCAGGTAAAATTCAACACGATGTCCATGCACTTAAGATGAATCGGTATTTTTCACGTGCCCGTTCCTATTGTCCCACGAGTTATATCCCTTCGTATGTGTGCAGATACGTACTGAAAGACTAGTATCCTAATTGAATAGAATTATTCACAGCAAAGCATAGACCTACTCACGAAGCCACCGAGACTCATACGAAACTAGCAGGGTCTTTTGAAACGTGCCCTGTGCAGAAGCTATCCCTGAGGGTAGGTAAAAAACAACCGCCAGAGGGCCAAAAGTGATCAACAACTACCTGGTCGCCAACCCGATCCCAAAGGAGGCCCGCCAGGACTCGCTGAGACTGACCCTAATTTTTAAATAGAGTCTATTATTAAGCTATGCTTTTTCATCTTTTTAAGGTGTGAAAACTGTAACGCGCGCGCGCGCATTACGCGCGCGGGCTACGCGCGCGCGCGCGTTATAACGCGTTACGCGCGCGCGCGTTACGCGCGAAATAAGGCGCGCGCGCGTTACATGCGCGCGCGCGCACGCGCGTAACGCGCGCGCGGGGGGGTGC